GTTTTTGTTTTTGTTTTTTTTTATTATGAAGTTGTGGGGTACAGTTAAGGGTTAGGTATACAATTGCGTTTCATTTAGGCACCCTGTTGATATGGGGTGTTTCCCCGTTCCCAGACAGATATTTGCTACTGTTAATCCCATCTCCCTCCCCCCACCATAGTTTCCCAGTAAGGTCAGTCATTTTCGTACAGTATTGCATTGGATGTTTAAAGTCCATCATATGAGTGAGAACATGTGATACTCAGATCTTTGTTTCTGTGAGAGATCACTCAGTATTATAGATTCTAGTTCCATCCAGGTTGTTGCAAAATTCATGATTTTGTTCTTTTTTATGGCTGCGTAGTATTCCATCGTGTATATGTACCACATTTTTAAAATCCAGTCCTCTTTTGACAGGCAGCATGGCTGTTTCCTGGTTCTTGCTATTGTGAACAACGCTGCGATAAACATGCGTGTGCAGGTATCTTTTTTATAGAGTGGTTTGTGTTCTTCAGGATATATTCCCAGTAGGGGGATTGCGGGGTCATATGGGAGGTTGGTATTTAGAGCTTTTAGGAATCGCCACACTGCTTTCCACAGAGGTTGCACTATACACTCCCACCAACAGTGTAGAAGTGTTCCCTTTTCACCACACCCTCTCCAGCAGCTGTTATTTTTTGAGTTGTTGATAATTGCCATTCTGACTGGGGTTAGGTGGTATCTCAGTGTGGTTTTGATTTGCATCTCCCTGATGATTAGTGAGGTTGAACATTTCTTCATGTGTTTGTTGGCTGCTCGGATGTCTTCCTTTGTGAAGTGTCTGTTCATATCTTTTGCCCATTTTATAATGGGGTTGTTTGTTTTTTTCTTTTCAGCACGTTTGAGTTCCTTGTAGATCCAGGATGTTAAGCCTTTGTCGGACCTGGAGTTGGCAAATACTTTTTCCCAGTCTGTAGGCTGTCTCCCTGCTCTCTTGATAGTTTCTTTGGCTTTGCAGAAGCTTGTCAGTTTAATAAGGTCCCACTTGTCTATTTTCTCTCTTATGAGCTGTGGATTTTGGGTTTTGTTCAGGAATTGGATGTCAGTTCCGATTTCCATGAGGGTATTTCCTTCATTTTCTAAGGTTCTTATGGTTTGAGGTTTTACATTTAGGTCTCTGATCCATTTGGAGTTAACCTTTGTGCATGGGGATAGATAGGGGTCCTGTTTCAATCTTCTGTGTGTGGTCAGCCGGTTTTCCCAGCTCCATTTACTGAATAGGTTCTCCTCTCCCCAGTGATAGGTGGTGGAGGCTTTGTCGAAGATGAGTTGGTTGAGAAATTGAGGTTTTGCTTCTGGAATCTCAATTCTGTTCCATTGATCTATATGCCTGTTCCTATACTAATACCAAGCTGTTCTGATGATTGTAGCCTTATAGTAAAGTTTGAAGTCTGGTAGTGTGATACCACCTGCTTTGTTTTTTTTTGCTGAGGATTGTTCTGACTATTCTTGGACGTTTGTGTTTCCATATGAATTCCTGCATTGTTTTTTCTAGGTCTGAGAAGAATGTTGCTGGTAATTTGATGGGTATTGCATTGAATTTGTAGATTGCCTTAGGTAAGATGGACATCTTCACAATGTTGATTCTTCCGATCCATGAGCTTGGGATATTTTTCCACTTGTTTGTGTCAACTTTGATTTCTTTGAGCAGTGTTTTGTAGTTTTCCTTGTAAAGGTCTTTCACATCTCTGGTTAGGAAGATGCCAAGGTATTTCATTTTTTTTGTGGCTATTGTGAATGGAATTGTGTTTTTTATTTGGGTTTCTGTTTGTTTATTATTGGTGTAAAGAAATGCGATTGTCTTTTGTACATTTATTTTGTATCCTGAGACTTTGCCAAAGGCCTTTATCAGTGTAAGGAGGTTTTTGACAGATTCTCTTGGGTTTTCAAGGTACACAATCATATCATCTGCAAAGAGAGATAAATTGACTTCCTCTTTTCCTATTTGGATACCCCTGATTGCCTTCTCTTCTCTGATTGCTCGAGCCAGGACTTCCAATACTGTGTTGAACAGGAGGGGTGAGAGTGGGCATCCTTGTCTTGTTCCAGTTTTCAGGGGAAATGGTTCTAATTTTTGTCCATTTAGGAGTATGCTTGCTGTGGGTTTCTCGTAGATAGTTTTTACTATTTTGAGGTATGCTCCCCGTATGCCTAGATGTTCAAGGGTTTTTATCAAGAAGCGGTGCTGGATTTTATCAAAAGCTTTTTCTGCATCTAATGATATAATCATGTGGTTTTTGTTTTGACATCTGTTGATGTATTTAATAACATTTATGATTTTATGAATGTTGAACCAGCCTTGCATCCCAGGAATGAAGCCTACTTGGTCATGATGGATGATTTTTGAGATGTATTGCTGAATCGGTTTGCTAGGATCTTGTTGAGAATTTTAGCATCTATGTTCATCAAAGATATTGGCCTGTAGTTCTCTTTCTTTGCTGGATCTTTACCTGTCTTGGGTATCAATGTGATGTTGGCTTCGTAAAATGATTTGGGGAGCGTTCCATCTTTTTCAATCACCTGGAATACCTTCAGTAGGATTGGTATCAGCTCCTGCTTAAATGTCTTGTGATTAAGAAGTTTTATATCCTTATTTCGCCAGAAATTTGAAAGACTCTGAAGACCTAGCCCACAACTCTAAACCCTATGGAATTTGAATGATTTTTTTTTTTTGAGTTGGAGTCTCACTCTGTTGCCCAGACTGGAGTGCAGTGTCCACTCCCGGCCACCACAGCCTCGACCTGCTGGGCTCCGGCAATCCTTCTGCCTCAGCTTTCCAAGTAGCCAGAATTACAGGCATGCACTACCATGCCCGGTTGATTTTTTGATTTATTTAGAGATGAGGTCTCGCTGCCCAGGTGGGTCTCCAACCCGCGGGCTCAGGTAATCCACTCACCTCAGCCTCCCAAAGGCGCGGGATTACAGGCTGAGCCACCAAGCCTGGCTTGAATGATTTTTAAGTGTTATTATTTTTATGTGAAAATAATTACATTTATTTTTTTCTGGAATTATATATCTATTTGGGAGAGATGAAGAAAACTATGAAAAGACTAAAATGTAACTCTCCACCTAAGCCATCTTTTGCTGTTAGCACTGTCTTTCAGCAGATTTGCTAAGGAGGCTGCCTTGACTGAAAGTGACACTCAGTTCTCTCTTTTTTTTTGGGTGGGGAGTGGGTTTGGGTTCTATTCCTGTGAACAAAAATGAAAGATGATTCGTATCTTGACTTCTCTTCATTCTGCTCCTTATCCATTTCTACTATTTCTATGAAAACTTCAAAAAATTTCTGAATTTTCTGTCCTGGACATATCCAGAAGGAGCAAACACTAGTCAGGAAATACCATTTGGTTCTCAGTTGATGTGACTTAAAGATGCTAAACTCAGAATTAATCCATTATCTTCCCATGTGTACCTCCAACCTGCTCATCACTGATTTTAATCTTTAAGCATTTTTAAAGGAGCTCAGTAAACTCCATGGAACCTTATGCACTAAGTTAACATTTTTAACAAAGTTAAATAGTTAAAATTTTAAGAAAGGTTGAGAAGCACTGAGATAATACCTAAAAGGGGAGTTAATCTGTTTAGTCTTGGCACAGTCAAGGTTAATTAGACAAGGTCTGTAGAATACCATTCCTGTTTACCATTGGCCTTCAGAAACACTGTCTGTATAGCCTGGACTCTCCACAGTCTGAAGTGCAGGTGATGGGAAGAAGGAAACATCAGAACCCTTCTGCATTGCTGATAGTTCACACTGTTGCTCTCCATCCCTTATGCTACTGTATCCTACCATATTACCGCTTACCTTACCTCTTGATGAGCCCAGAAGAGACTGCATGGTTAATTTATCAAGGGATGAAATTGTTGTTTGGTTGCACTGTATACTATTTTATCTATCCACCACTGTCAAATTAGAGCATTAACTAAAACATATTTTCCATACTAAGTTCTTCTGGGTTCATGTATATAAAATAATTGTCCCCAAAAGGAGAAAAAAAACAAAGATAGGCCCTTTCATTTTCTTTTGTTGATATTGCTCTTGCTGGAAGAGGTTGTAAGAATTGGGAAATTTCTACTTTCATCAAGGAATGTTTACAGAGCACCTGTTACATACAGGCACTGGGCTGAAAGCTTGCACAGTGTAAACAAGGCAGTCATAGTCTCTGACCTTGTGGAATCTCCAGTCAAGAGGATGAGACAAAATGGTCCCACGAATAGGGTGAAAGCTCATCATTTTCACAGAATATATCAACGTGGAATCTATATTTCTGTGATTTACTGCACTGGTAGTTCCACAGTCCAACCCCCAAGGTGATCAGGTCTGATGTGCCTGGCTAGATCGGGTGAAGGTCATGTATGAATAAGAAAGATGTCTGAAAACTACCCTATTTCAATTTAAATCTGTCTAGGAAAACCTGTTTAACTACTTCTAAACTATGCTAACGTTTATCCAGTAACAGTTTCTGGAAATGCTATAAAATGCTTAGAAAAGGACTTAGCATAAATAATGTTCCCAATAAAAATGACTGACTTGGTTATCTTCACTATCACTACAACACATGCAATTATTTAAAGAGCTGATCATGCCATAAAAAGCATAATCAACATGTTCTAACAGCTGCCACTCTGTCTGTCACATAGTACTACAATAAAGTTATCTAGAAATAAAAAGGAATACAATTGATAATACTTTATCAAACTGGGGAGTTTATTTAAAAACAAGTTTATTGAAGTTAAATTATTTTAAAAATCAAAGAAAACTTTATCGTGCTGAGTATTTGATAAAGAACCAACCAGGGAAGTCTGATGACTCAGGGGATGGGCGGGCAGACGAGGGTGCATGTACTCTCTGCTGTTGCGATAATATAAAAAGCCACCAGAGCACTCCAGAAAGCACAAACCTTCAGAGACAGAGGAGCAGACAGGCTTCTAGGACAACAGTCAGCAAGAAGCCACAGGAAGGAACCATCCTGTTGTGTGTAAACATGACCCCCAAGCTGACTGTGGCCCTCTTGGCAGCCTTGGTGCTTTCTGCAGCTCTGTGTGAAGGTAAGCACATCTTTCTGAACTAAGGCCTGTTCCTGTGTCTCAACGTAATCCTCAACTGGCAAGGCTATCCTTAATGCTTTCATGAAAATATTTTTTAAATTTAGGAACAGAGGTAATCATTGCAATTAATATTAAATGGAAGTATTTTTTAGCCTGTATCTATATAATATGTAGGAAAGTATAAAACCTGATTAATACAGACATTCTGTTCCTATAACTCATACTATACAGTATGCATATATTTAATATAAATCAGTAATTTACAGTATATCTTACTGAGGGCCACAGTGACCCATATGATCTATTCATATTGAGAAAGGTAACACAGGTAATTTTACTCCACATAGTATCTTATTGAGAAGCGTCAGATAACTATCAATTCCTGTTTGGTTTAAAGATATTCTGATTATAGATCATTTCAGGTCTGTACAACTCATTTGTATCTTTATAATAATTCTGATGGCCATTTCTGTGATGGAGATTCTTAGTTTGCTTACTTGTGGTATCACAGAGGATTGTGGTTTAGCAAATGGGCGAAAAAAGCACCATGAGGATGCTAATATTGCACACAGACAACTCCAGCTTCTTATGTAGAAAGTCATGCGATATTGTCAGCAGTGACAGTTTTTAAAACAAATAAAATTGAGGTCAAGGGCTAGAAGAATATCTGGTCTTCAGTATCAGAAATGAGTTTGTTAGAAATATAATGCTTTCCACAGTCCCCAAATAATCATATTGATATTAAAGAAGGAGTAGCTAGCAGCACTTTGCCTGTTGATGAAACCAATCTTTAATCTCTTTTTTAATTTTCCACAGCTGCAGTTCTGTCAAGAATTGATACAGAAGTCCGATACCAATGCATAAAGATGCACTTTACACCTTTCCACCCCAAATACATCAAAGAACTGAGAGTGATTGAGAGTGGACCACAGGGTGCAAATTTGGAAATCATGTAAATATTTTCAAAGATGATTAGATATGCTGCTTTAGCAAATATATAATTAAGGAAAGTAGAAGTATTCAGAAAATTTCTAGGCTCTAGGAATATAGTAGTGAACAAAACAAAACACAATTTTTATCTCTATGAATTTTAAACATGTTACCTTACATGCCTAGTAGCTGAAGGTTGCTTTGAACTTAGACTTTGTGCTTGTACTTGAGGAACCATGATTTGAATGGGAAAACTAAATATTGATTTTAACCATCTCTTTCTCATTTTAGTGTAAAGCTTGTCGATGGACGAGAGCTCTGCCTAGACCCCAAGGAAAAGTGGGTGCAGAAGGTTATGCAGATATTTTTGAAGAGGTAATTTTTTTAAAAATTTGAATTATTCATTTATTCTGGGACATATACTCCATAAGTCAGCCTATGAATTTCCTGCTGCGGTTGAAAATCTTCGCTTTTAGGTATCTGCCTCTTTGATTCATGTATATATAGGATGGCAGTAGTGAGTTTGTTGTACTTGTGACTGGGAAGACCATCTCAGTTTGTCTGGGGAAGTCTGGGTTAATGCCTATGTCCTGTATTACTAGTAGAGTTCCTTATCACTCTCAGGAGTGTCCTGTTTTAGATTATAAACTAAATCTTATCTTTCTATGTGTAGTGAAAACATAGAGCATTTCTAATGTATGAATGTCTAAGATTGTATTAAGATTTTAAGACAATATATTTTCTTTTAAAAAAAATCTATTTTAAAGATGTGGGGTACAATTCAGGGTTAGGTATACAAATGTTCATATATTTTCAAGAATCTTTTTCTTCCTATTAGAATATTGTTAATCTTTAACTTTTTAATTGATTTTATTTTTAGGACTGACAAGCAAGATTCATAAAAAAAATACATTCTCCATGCATTCTCCAAGAATTCCTCAGTAAAGATGCCAGTGAAATTTCCAACAAACTTCTTCAAGCTTCATGTACTGTGTGGGTCTGATGTAGGGATGCCAGATAAAATATAATATACTGATATAATCTGAATTGAAGTAAAGCAGTGAATAGGGTTTTTTCTATTGTACCATGCTATAACTAGGACATACTTATATTTAAAATATTTTTTAATCTATAGCAAAAAAATAATTTTTAAAATATAAGAAGGTCCTAGATATTTCATAGGAGAATATACATGGAAAAAAATTGAGGTAAAGGGTGAGGAGACTATCTGGACTTCAACTTCAGAAATTGAATCCTAATTCTTGTCTTGCCATTGTTATTGCCTTGTCATGCAGTGCTGTGTTGAATTACACAATCCTGAGTTAGAACTGTCAAAACAGCAAACATTCACCAGGAATATTAGCAAAGTAATTTCTAGTTGAAGCTATTTGTTATGTATGAATCAATTCTCATAATATTATTTGTATGATTTGTTTTGTAACTTTTAAACTTTAAGATACTTTTATGTGCTCCCCCTAATTTTAAAACTCTTTCTGATAGTGTAAAATTATAAATGTAACTATGAAACATCGAAAATAAAATTTGTTGTCAAAGCATCAGGTTTTGTCTTTCTTTTGGGGCTTTAATTTTTTAAATAAATGCTTTTTTAAATAATTTTTTAAATAAATGCTTTCCCTTAACATTTTATACCAACCTTGATTGGAGAAAAGCAAGGTATACAATCATGTCGTCTGCAAAGAGAGATAACTTGACTTCATCTTTCCCTGTTTGGATACCCCTGATCACCTTCTCTTCTGTGATTGCTCTAACCAGGACTTCCAATACTATATTGAACAGGAGGGGTGAGAGTGGGCATCCTTGTCTTATCATTGTGAACAGTGCTGCAATAAACATATGTGTGCAGGTATCTTTTATATAGAGTGATTTGAGTTCTTCAGGGTATATTCCCAGTAGGGGGATTGTGGGGTCATATGGAAGGTCGATTTTTAGAGTTTTTAGGAATCACCACAGTGATTTCCACAGAGGTTGTACTAGCTTACACTCCCACCAAGAGTGTAAAAGTGTTCCCTTTTCACCACATCCTCTCCAGCATCTGTTATTTTTTGAGTTATTGATAATGGCCATTCTGATTGGAGTTAGGTGGTACCTCAGTGTAGTTTTAATTTGCATCTCCTTGATGACTAGTGAGGTTGAACATTTCTTCATATAGCTGTTGGCTGCTCGTACATCTCATTTTGAGAAGTATTTGTTCACATCTTTGGCCCACTTTGTAATGAAGTTGTTTTTTTTTTTCTTTTCAGCACAGTTTGAGTTTCTTGTAGATCCTTTTGTTAGGTCTTTGTCAGACATGGAGTTGGTAAATAATTTTTCCCAGTCTGTGGGCTGTCTCCCTGCTCTCTTGATGGTTTCTTTGACTTTGCAGAAGCTTGTCAGTTTAATGAGGTCCCACTTGTCTATCTTATCTCTTATGACCTGGGCACTTCGGGTTTTGCTCAGGAATTGGATGCCTGTTCCAATTTCCATAACGGTATGTCCTGCATTTTCTAAAGTTCTGTGGTTTAAGATTTTACATTTAGGTCTCTGAGACACTTAGAGCTAATTTTGTGTATGGGGATAGATAAGGGTCATATTTCAATCTTCTGCATGTGGTCAGCCAGTTTTCCCAGCATCATTTACTGAATAGGTTCTCTTCTCCCAAGTGTTGGTTGGTGGAGGCTTTGTCGAACATGAGTTGGTTTAGAAATTGAGGTTTTGCTTCTGGAATCCTGATCCTATTCCCCTGGTTTATAAGCCTGTTCTTGTACCAATACCAGGTTGTTTTGATTATTGTAGCTTTATAGTAAAGTTTAAACTCTGATAGTGTGATACCTCCTGCTTTGGTTTTTTTTTTTTTGCTGAGGATTGATCTGGCTATTCTTGGTCGTTTGTGTTTCCATATGAATTCCTGTATTGTTTTTTCTAGATCTGAGAAGAATGTTGCTGGCAATTTGATGGGTATTTTGTTAAATCTGTAGATTGTCTTAGGTAAGATGGACATCTTCACAATGTTGAGTCTTCCAATCCATGAGCATGGGATATTTTTCCACTTGTTTGTGTCATCTTTGGTTTCTTTGAACAGTGTTTTGTAGTTTTCATTGTACAGGTCTTTCCTGTCTCTGGTTAAAAAGTTGCAATGGTATTTCATTTTTTTGGTGGCTATTGTAAATGGGTTTGTGCTTTTTATTTGGGTTTCTGTTTGTTTATTTTTGGTGTAAGAAATGTGATTGTCTTTTGCACATTTATTTTATACCCTGAAACTTTGCCAAAGTCCTTTATCAGTGCAAGGAGGTTTTTGACAGATTTTCTTGGGGTTTCAAGGTACACAATCATGTCACCTACAAAGAGAGATAACTTGACTTCCTCTTTTCCTATTTGGTTACTGCTGATTGCCTTCTCTTCTCTGATTGCTCTAGCAAGGACATCCAGTACTATATTGAACAGGAGGGTTGAGAGTGGGCATCCTTGTCTTGTTCCAGTATTCATGGGAAATGGTTCCAATTTTTGTCTATTTAGGAGTAGGCTGGCTGTGGGTTTCTCGTACATGGCTTTTACTATTTTGAGGTATGTTCCATGTATACCTAGATGTTTGAGGGTTTTTATCAAGAAGGGGTGCTGGATTTTATCAAAAACCTTTTCTGCATCTAATGATATAACCATGTGGTTTTTGTTTCTACGTCTGTTGATGTATTTAATTACATTTATGGTCTTATGAATGTTGAACAAGACTTGTGTCCCAGGAATGAAGCATACTTGGTCATGATGGGTGATTTTTGAGATGTGTTATTGAATCTGGTTTGCTAGGATCTTGTTGAGAATTTTAGCATCTATGTTCATCAAAAATATTAGCCTGTAGTTCTCTTTCTTGGTTGGATCTTTACCTGGCTTGGGTATCAATGTTATGTTAGGTTTATAAAATGATTTTGGGATAGTTCCATCTTTCTCAATCAACTGAAATACTTTCAGTATGATTGGTATCAGTTTCTCCTTAAATGTCTTATAGAATTCTGCTGGAAAGCCATCTGATCCAGGGCTTTATTTTGCAGGTGGTTTTCTTATGACATAGTCAATTTCCTTCATTGTTATTGGTCTATTTAGGGTCATGATTTATTCTTGTTTCAACCTAGGCAGGTTGTGTGATGTCAGAAAGTCCTCCATTTCCTTAAGGTTTTCAAGTTTGTTTCCATACAAATGTACATAGTAGTCTCTAATAATCTTTTGTATTTTTTCCAGGGTCAGATGTGACTTCATCTTTTGTGTTTCTGATTGTGCTTATTTGGACTCTTTTTCTTGGTCAGTCTAGCTAGAGGACCATTGATCTTGTTTATCCTTTCAAAGAACCATCTTTTTGTTTCATTTATTTTTTGTATTATCTTTTTGTCTTCTATGTCCCAGATTAGGGCTTTTATTTTGGTGATCTGGATTCTTCTGCGGAAGTTAGAGTTTTGGTGGTCTTGCTTTTCCAGCTTTCTTAGGTGACTTGTTAGGCTGTTAATTTGTCATCCTTCCATTTTCTTCATGTGCGTTTGTGGGGATATGAATTCTCCTCTTACTACAACTTTCATGGCATCCCAGAAATTTTGGTAAGATAATTCTTCATTTTCATTTGTTTCCAGGTATCTTTTAGTCTCTGTTTTGATTTCATCATTGACCCTGGAGTTGTTTAGCATCATGCTGTTTAGTGTCCATGTCTTTGTGGGGCTCAGGGGAACCTTGTTGGTTTTGATGTCTATTTTTATTCCACTGGGCTCTGAGAAGATGCATAGCAAAATTTTGATCTTTTGAAATTTGTTTGTGCTTGATTTTTGGCCAAGGATTTGGTTGATCTTAGAGTATGTTTCATGTGGCAATGAATAGAATATATATTCTGTGGTCATTGGGTGGTCTCTAGGTATCAGTTAAGTCCATTTGGTCAGGAGTCACATTGACGTTCTGGATCTCGTTGCTGATTTTTAGTCCTGATGATCTGTCTAGGGTTGTGAGTAGGGTATTAAATTCCCCAGCTATGATAGTGTTAGAGACACTATCTTTCTCGAGTTTACCTAGAAGTTGCTTTATGAAAGTTGGTGCTCCTATGTTGGGCACATATGTGTTTAGGTTGGATATTTCTTGTTGATGGATTGAACCTTTTATCATTATGTAGTGCCCTTCTGTATCTTTTTAAATTTTTTATAGCTTAAAGGATATTTTGTCTGAGATTGAGATCGAGACTCCTCCTTTCTTTTGTGTTCCATTCACCTGAAATTTTGTTTCCCATCCTCTTACTTTGAGTCTGTGAGTTTCCTTTCTAGTAAGATGAGTCTCTTGGAGGCAATATATTATTGCCTGGTGATATTTTATCCATTTTGCCAGTCTATGTCTTTTCAGTGGGGCATTTAATCCATTCACATTCAGGCTAATTATTGAAATGTGAGAGTTGATCCCTATCATAAGGTACTTATAGAGTTGTTGTTGTTGTTCCTGTTTGTTTGTTGTCTTTCTTTTGGTTTGGGTATGTTTTTAATCTTTTTCCTGAACTCTTGTGAAAACGTTGTTGTTCTTTTTTCCTTTTCTTCTGTTTAATACTTTCTTCAGTGTTTCTTGTAGAGGTGGTCTGGTGGCAGTGTAAGTTGTTAGGGATTGGATATCTGGGTAAGATTTTAAATCTCCCTCACTGATGAAGCTCAGCTTGGCTGGGTAGGTTATTCTCAGTTGAAATTGTTTATCTTTTAGAACTTTGAAGATAGGGCTCCAAGTTCTCCTAGCCTGTAGGGTTTCTGTAGATAAATCTGCTGCTCTTCTAATTGGTCTTCTATAGTAGGTAATCTGTCCTTTTACTCATGCTCTCTTTAGGATTTTTTTCTTTTTTACCTACTTTGTTTAGGTGAATTATTATGTTTTGGCATTGATCTTCTCATTTGTTGTT